AATTGGTATACCTATCAAGTCCATTATCGGACCATTCGTTGTTCTTACAAGTGACGTCGTTGGAAAAGGCAAGTAGGTCTTCTCCGCATGGCTGTTTGCGGTATTCTCGGTCATCGCCAAACGCCACAACCCTACGATACGGGCTGTCCTCCGTTCATCTGGCCGTGGACTTTGCCTTCAACTCGCTCTTCGCCACAACAGCTCGAACGCCCTCTTCTCAGCGTTGTTTGTTATCGTACCGAACTAGATGCTCAACGTCCTCAAACTATGAGGCTCGGCACGCCGAGAGCCGAGAGTTGATTGTCAGTTCAGGTTGCCGAGACCCGTTAGGAACCCGGACACGCTTTTGGTGGTGTACACCAGTCTTCTCATCGGTCGACTATTAGGCTTAGGCGTTCTGAGCCTTCTCGGCGGCCTTTGCTTGCGCTGCAGCAGCCATCGCCTTGGCCTTTGCGTCGGCATCATCGGCATTTGCTGAGCTGGACCCTGAGGCGCCACTGCCGCCAGCACCGTAGTCGAGTTTGAGCATGTCGTCTTCGCTAAGGAGCTCATCGATATCTGCCTTGGCGACTCCTGCGCCCTGCTCAGCTTTCTTGCGCTCTTCTTCGGCTTGTCTTTGCTTCTCTTCTTCGCCTTCCTTTTTCCGGCGCTCTTCCTCTTCTTCCTGCTTCTTGGCAGCTTCTTCGGCTTGCTTCTTAGCCTCTTCAGCGGCTTTTTCTTTCTCTTCGTCCGTTGGACCGATGCTGCCTTCTTTGTTGTCGCCCTCGCAGCGCTCGCGCTCCAACTTCATATCCATGATCAAGCTGAGCTCAGGGCAGTAGTCGAAAATCTTTTTCCGTTGCGTGGGATTCTTCCACACCTTGTCGGAAATTCCCTGACCCCCATCCTTGACGTGATATCCCATGGGCTTCTCCATGTAGACGTCTTCCACTGCCAGAACACCCTTTCTGCCGTGGGCTACCTTTTCGCCCTGCATGACCCAGAGTCGCTTCCCGTACCATTCGTCCTCGGCTTCCGTGTCATTGTATCTCTCCTGAAATTGCAACACTCTCTTGATGGACGAGACTCGTCGAAGAGAGAGTCCGCCATTGCCGGAGAAGCGATCATCAGGGGTCCTGCGAGCGGGGTTAGCAAGGGATGAGGGCCGCGAGGGAGAACTTTCGAGGGGGACCTACTTGGGTGCGCCAGCCCAACTCCAGTCGAGCCACTCGTTGAGACTGGTCGGTGAGTTGGAACAGAGGATACTGTCGGATTCGAACTTGAGGATCCATTCCACACCGGGGAGGAATTCTTCGTAAAAGCGAATGTCGGTCAGCAGGCGAAAGACGTGTTCCTTGGTGTCAATCTCCCACGGCTCAGGGAGGACCATCAAGTCGAGCTTCCCGATAACCTGCTGGTGCTTGATGCCGTAGCTTCGGGCGACGCTGACAACGCTCTTGTTGGAGCCGATGAATAGGAATCTCCAATCGGGAGGCACCACCGAGGTCATGTGCAATAGCTGGGGTACGAGATGCGGAATAGGGCGCGGCTCGATGATCAATGCTAACTTGGATGCATTGTAGTTGGATCTCGGGTCTTTGCTCAGGTCGGGTTTCCAGTCAACCTTGATCTTGGGCATCTTCTGACGAGCCTCATCCAATCTCGACTTGAACTCGGCCTTGATCATAGGCTTGTAGCTCGGCAAGAGATGAGCAAACCACCATCTGCAAACGTGGTCAGCATGTCATTCGCCAGTAAGTCTTCAGGTAAGTTTGCGACGGGAAAGACGAACGTAATGGCCAGCGACGCAACTAGCAAAAGTCGTGTCTTTGTGATGGCGAATACGCCGGAAGAACCGTTCGTGGCCCCCATGTCGCTGAAATGTGAACGTCCAGGAACGGCGCAGCAAGAGCAGGGCGCAAACGAGAGAATGGGACGGCGTCAGGGACGGCGTCGCAGTGATGGATTAGAATCGGTTGGTAAAAAAGAATCGAGGCAATCGGAAGCTGGAAATTCGAGAATTCTCTGACTTGACTGAAAGTTGCTGGTTAGAGGCGCGTCATGTCGACCACGTGTTGAAACCGCCGAGACTGAATGCCAATATGGACTTGGTTTCGTGTGTTGCGGCCGTTGTGGACAGGCGGAACTCTTGGTAGTGATTCAGCTTTCCAAGGGCGCTGGCGAGGAATTCTCAGGGACTCGAGACTCGGCCGGTGCGGTTGGTCTTGGAGTTGAGGTGCAGTGCAGTAAGCAGCAGCAAGAAGAGACAAGTGTCTTCCGTGATCCAAGGGAGAGAAGAGAGGCTGCGAGGGAAAAACGAAAAACGAAATACAAGGGGTTCGCGGGCCGCTCGATAGTCCAGAGATAGAGAGGACGGCGAAGTTTGTTAGATGACGAATCGCGTCTGCAGGCTTGCGGAACGGCGCTCACTGGTGGCAGTGGGTGGTGGTTCACTACTATGTAGAGCAAGAGTCGAATGTCACCGAAATCCCACTCTTTCTACTAGGTGACTAGGTGACTAGGTGCAGGGTCCTGGAATGGATGCCGGGAAAGAGGGGGGAAACCTGGCTTCAATCAACCGATCCCAATGTCGATAGACGGTCGACCGCCCGCTGGAAGCAGAGGCTGGAAGCAGAAGCTGGAGCCAAAAGTGAGAGAGTTAGAGAGACGCTTGGCGGAAGATGTGGGAGGAAGTGGGGCCTTCCTTACCTTACGCAGTAGCCTGTAGGTATCCGTACGAATAGACTGAGGTGATAGAATTCGACGAGAGGTCAAGCCTGAGGTGGAAGTTACCTTGCCGCAGTCTGTAAGGCAAGCCCACACTGGGACAGCCAGCACATGGGCGCAGGGAGACGACGGAAGGTACAAGTGACGGGCAGGTACTCGGATGTACCATCTTCTACACGTCGACCTCCACTTCCATTTCCCATTTCCTTCTTCTTTGGGTGGGTGGTATGCAGCCAGTGGAGGCAGGGAAGGGCTCCTCCCGCTAGACCCACATTGCCTGGGTTCCTCCCTTCCATTTGCATTGGAAGTCTGAAGTCGCGAAGTTAACCACACGATCTGGGAGAGACTGCATAGCTCCTTTCTCCTTTCTTCCTCACAGGCAACTGCAAGCTGCCATTCGGTCTCGTCTTCTGGCCGAGATGCTCGTCGTCTCGAACAGGACAAGGTTCAAAGTGCATTACCGCCATCAACCCAACTTATACGCAGTAGGTATCAACCTTGACTGCATCCATCGTACCATTGGGCTCTTTCGCCATCGAGGAGAGCTTCATCTCGTGTTGCACCTGTTCGCCAATCCTACCACCTATCGCCCAAACTTCTGCCGTGCTGAGAACCATCATTACTCGACTACACTGCATACCTAAACAACTAACCCCCATCTTCTGGCGCACGGCTCTCTGATAACTCCAGATGACGTACGAACGGCGTGCCCGTCAGCGACAAGATCATTTCCGAGCACGCTGTCAGTCTTTGGTTACTTGCAAAGAACGACCATGCTGTCACCCAGCTCAACGTACAATTTGATTACCAGATTGCGCAGGTTTATTATTTCCGCGATGTGGGGAAAAGGAACGCCGTGGTCAGCACTCGGGAGTGAGAGCGATATTTCTTCTTCTCGAGAGAACCGAGTCTTTTTTTTTTTGTTTTTTTTTTTTTAATGAGTCGCCTCGTCCAAGACTCATTTGCGCCCGCCCCGCCCCTCGCGTTCCTCGCGTGCGACAACAAGAATGCGACCGCACAAGACAACTGTGTCAGGTGTAATATGAAAGTTGAACCTTGAAAACGAAGCCTATTTCATTCTCTTCGTTCTTGCTTGGACAAGGCTAGCCCCAAGTCCAAGTAAGCCCTGAGGATGCTCAGCAGGGACCATGGACCGAGCCCTGCATTGGGCTGTGCCGCTACAGACTTGAGAAAGCTTTCATGTTTGTCGGCAATAGGCAATCATAGGGATACTGCTTACAGGCTGACAGGGCATCGTACATGCATGCGTGCGGCGAAGCGGCGGAAAGCAGCACAGTCGCTCGCTTATCCACAACCTCTCGTCTCTGGTCTCTCACAGAATGTCACTGGTCCCAGTCCGATTGTCGTGCATGTGAGGAACAAGTTGACTGTGGCGGGTTAAGCTGACTGCCACCAGTACTATTGTAGGTATCACGGTGCATCCGTACGAGCACTGTACGCCGTTCCAACCGTCAACATGCTTTCGTTGCAGCAAAGTTTAAGTGGAAGTCAGTCGTCGTATCGATGCTTTTCGAAACTTGAGACATGGGGCTTGCGCGGTCTCCCTTGTGCGCCCTTACATAATATTCTCCGTGGCAAGGAGTTGAGATTAAATCGACGTTGGACGGTTGAATTCGGAAAGAGACTATCACGGAATCACCACTTGGTGCGAGGCTGCCCCTTTGCGACAGTTCGCTTGGCCATGAACTGGTTATTCACTGGCAACTGATCCGAAGCTGGCCTGCCTGCCTGCTTGGGTGCTACGGTATACACTACATACAACGTACCGACTACCGTCCCATTGGGCGCCTTGGGTCCAACCCTGGTCTTTAATGCAGCCGGATTATGGGTGTCACGGCCGGCGATACCGAGAGACCGGCTCGGGGTGGTGATTGTTGGTTGCGCTGCACGAAATAGCTGGGCATGGTACCCCCTAGGTTGGGGTCGCTTTGTTCGGGGATGGGGAACTCTTGGCTGGGATGAGGCTGTAAATATCCTCGAGCTCGGTTCTTGAATCAGGGCATCCGTAACATCATGGGACGAAAGTGCCCGTTTGTCCCGATTTCCTCATGGGTATGGAGTTCAGACTACAGTTTAGCCGCTTCATTCTCGTGAGGGAAAGCTGACGCTGACTTGCGACTTGCTGTGGCGCTTCGTATCCAAGTTACGTCCTCGCTATTACATGCAGGTCAGAATTGGAGGGAGGGACGATGGTGGCGTGACGTTCCGTGTCCGTCCCTCCAGATGGCCTCTTGGGATGGAGAAAAGAGGGATGTATCGGCATATGTGTACTCATGGTCGGGCGAGCGCCTGATGGTGCGGCCTGGAGACAGACAGACCGACAGACTGGACGATCAGGCTCCCTGATTGCTTGCCAGGATTACCAGTCGCCATCGCCATCGCTATCGCACCCGACCATCGAATCGAACGTGCCCGGTGGAGGTGAGAGAAGGGAAAAGGTACTTGCAGGTACATGCCGGATACTCGACCCAAATTAGACACTGCAACAGTGGCTGGCTGCATTGCGCGGTTTGACAAGGGCTGGGCTACGGACGGCGACGTGGGCAGCAAGGGAAGCCGGCGAGATTCATCGACGCGGCCACCGGGGGGGCTCCAATGTTGCTTTTGGAGACGCTGGCCCCAAAGCAGCTCACTAGAACATCTCATTGGCTTCCCTTTGCTTGAAACTTCCACGACCCAGGGCCTGGCCTGTTGATTGGAATCCGCTGCCACATCTCTCCCAAAGGTCTCCAGTTTCTCGCGCTGGTCTTTTTTTCCCGTCCGGCCCCGGGCTGGCGTGGACACCTGCCAAGGAAAGGGGGGGGGGGGGAAAGGGTCCGGAGGAGTGGAGGGAAAGTGAATGAGCATGGAAGCAGCAGGCTACCTTACACTAGAGTCTACACTAGAGCAGCAAGCAGCCTTCGCCCTGGGAATTGAAGGCAAAGGCAAGGGGCGTCCTGTCTTTTCATCAGATAATTCCATCCGTCCCTCGTTGCGTCCTTAGTCGTTGTCGAGGGAGGAGCTGCCACACACCGTATCATTATTCGTACCTTCCTCAGGGTAGTGGTGCATGTGCAAATCGTACCTTCCCATAGTTCCCCATCACTCCTTCCCTTCATCCTCTTGTCTTTTTCTTGTTTCCTCCCTCTCTCTCTCTCCTCTCCCCTTCACTTCTGAACCTCACATCTTCTGTTCAACGCACGCACCGAATTCACCATTCGGGCTACGACCAGTCGACCGCGCGAGTAGCTCGTCTATTCGACAAGAGTCAGCTGCTGTCGTCGTCGTCACCAGCCGCAGGACCGGACATGCCTTAATTCCCCTGCAACGCTACCGACGCATCCACGCCATCGACACTTGCGTAATCTCTGTGGACCGGACGGATCTGCGACTCGCGAGTAAACGCCCGCTCTCGAAGCCGCTCCAGGCTTGAGTAGCCTCTGCGACTTGAAATCTCCCTGAAATCGCTTTTCACTACAACCGCTCTCTGTCTCCATCTTCAACGCCCACCCAGGCCTTTTCTGCCATTTCGTGGCCTTCTCGTCCTAACCATGGCCTCGCTACCACGGCCTGCTGTCAGCGGCGAGAAGAGCATGACAGACGTCTGGCAGCATACCAAGGCCCTGCTTCTCTCGGTTTGGGCCTTGACGAGCCGCCGCATGAGAGTCTTTGGCGCTTTCGTCCTCTTCCTGTAAGCCCATGACCCCAGAAACTCCTGCTTGGCTCCTTATAATATTGGCTCGTACTGACCGTATCGCGTTAGTGGTTTCTCAATATGGCTATCGCTGCCCACCCTCAAGACGATGACCGTACCGCAAATCTCCCTTGAATACGCACATTCACCCTATAACCATTCCAAAGTCGCTCTTCTCGTCGAGAACCGCGCCAATCCGATTCTTGCGCCATTGATGCTGCACTTCATTTCCGTAGTGCCTCCCGACTGGCGCTTTCGCTTCATGGGCTCTGTTGAGTCCGTCAAGTCTATCAACTCGTCCGTTGCGATTCGTGAACAAGTCGCCGCCGGCAAGCTCGACCTGACATACATTCCCTCCAACATGAGCACGGCTGGTCAGGAGATGATTAGTCGGTTCTTGACCAACCTGTGGCTGTACGAGACCGTCCTGCAGCCTGCCGAGTGGCTCCTCGTATTCCAGACCGATAGCATCCTCTGCGCCAACAGTAAGCAGAACATCAACGACTACCTCGAGTATGATTGGATTGGAGCCCCTTGGAACCCTGGCGGCAGGTGGGGTGGCAACGGTGGCCTCTCCATCCGTCGTGTCAGCGCCATGATTGATATCCTCCGAAACCAGAAGCGTGTTGACGGATCTGAACCTGAGGACGTTTGGCTCGCTGAGCGCCTTGCTCACCGACCTGGAAGCAAGGTCGCTAACGGAACTGTATCATTGACGTTCAGCGGTGAGATGCACTCCGGCGAAGGCACAAAGATCAACAAAGGAGGAGCGAACGCGACACTCGAGGCTGCTGCAGAGGGTGAACTTGTCTCAGGCATTGACGATTACCGTGAGGGCTTTTACGAGCCCATGGGCTATCATACCGGTGGTAGTGGTATCTGGCTGCACAGCGCCATCTGGGGTACTCCAGCTCTACGAAAACACATTTGGGATTACTGTCCCGAGGTCAAGCTTACACTGGCTATGGACGCAGCCAAATACGTTCCTGGTAATTGTAAGGCCAAGTGGAAGAGAGGCCTTGATGGTGTTGAGGAGCTTGAGACGGAAAGCGATGGCGGAGAGAATGAAGAAGGCGCGACGGATTCGCAATACCCATTTGGCTCAGAGACCATTGATGGAAAGGATTACCCGAACTTGCCGCCTAGCCTGATGGCATGGTGATAGCTCTCCAGCTGTCAAGAAGCCCTCTCATCGCAGCATCAATGCATCGCGATGGATCTGGGACGACATAACGGCACTGCCGTAAAGTTTGTTACATTACAGGAACTTGGTAGCATAGGATTTGGCTTGGCGTTTGGAGGTCATCTTGGTCCTGCAGGGAAATGGAACCAGATAGCTCAAGAAATGAGTCATGTAAGGCATAGGTCATTAACTTTGAACGAACCGTTGAGACAACTGCAACCGTGCGGTGGACAAGTGAATTCCGAAGTGTGCCGCCTGCCGGAGCATAGTTGCGTTAATTATCGATACTCATTGCTTCCCAGGCCTTAAGTCTGTCAAATGACCCCCACGTCTGAAGCTTGGTGGCAAGGCACTCTACTTGAATTATGAGAGACGCAGTTTCAAACTTTCTTTTGAGGTACGATCCCTGCAGGATGCGACTGCTCACTGCAATTAGACAAATGCAGTAAATACGCTGTGCGGCTTCTGCACAGAGTAGAGAAACGAGTAAGACGACGGATCATTACGGATATACATTGGTCTACTAATTATGTTGAAACTTTTGAATGTGAGAATGTTCATTCGAGTTTGATCAAATTCGTTATCCACACGCCATCTTGAGTCTGCCTCGGGCGGTGAGATGCCTACTCGAATGGAATACTGTGTTCCCGTCTCTCGAGTTCACCTTGAGCCTTTTCACGCTTTGAGTTTTTCGAGTTTTTTTCCGGGGCGTTTTCCCAGGGCTGCAGAGAAGTGGTTACGGCAAGTCACACGCGCACATACATACATACACACATTACGGGAGTCCCTGCAGAGGAGAGTTCGCAGGTGGCCACGCGCGTGGCACGGCCCGCATACCGGTCCTGCAAGCCACCTCAAGACATACAGACGCCTCTGGAATGCTCTGTCAAGGTATGGACAGAGTCAGGGGACGACCCGACTTGTTGACTTTGTTATCTTATTTGTTTGCTTGAATAAGCGTAAACCCGGCTATTCTACCATCCAGGAAATGCGGTGGACGAAAGGGTCTGGGGGGTCCTCGTTTTTCTACTAGGTAGGAACAAAGTGTGGCATGTGAGGATTGGAAGGATAACCTGGTGCACCTAGTTGACGTGGAGAAGAGCGGCAGCGGTTGAGAAGAGCGAGCAGGATGGTTCGTTTGTACGTATACGTAAATGTGCCACGAAGATATCGACTCTAGTGTTGGGAGATAGTTTTGGGAGACTTTACAATTACCCGTCAGGTTTGACTCGACGATGATAGATACCAAGCCGACGGCAATCAAAACCACACGAAAAGACCCAGGCCAGGATAGAAACGTAGTTATATAATTATTACTCAGAGCACGTAACCACCGCTTCCGAGACATTGCCACTCGCGCACGCCAGTGCTCTCCTCCAGCTCGACGCACCACCACAGCACCTCCTTCGCCTTGTCTACCTGCCCGCTCTCCTCGTGAGCCCGGGCCAGCGCGAACCAGGCCTCTGCGTTATTCCACGCGCTGCCGAGCTTCGTCAGGGAAGACAGGAGACCATACGCGCGGTCGCGAGCGGCGAGGCGGTCGATGGTCGGCACCGAGGTCGCCTTGTACGGCGCAGGCAGCTTGTCGTCCGGGTCGGACCTCTCCACCGACTTGACCGACGATGCCGTCGTCGCGGATTGGTGACCGCTTGTCTTGCCGGCGGGGCCTACGTCCAACCCGCCGGAGCCCAGACCCAGTGGTTCTGACGGGAGACCGTGCTGGGGGACGGCAATCTTTGGGAGATTCGGTGGCGGCAGCGAGAGGCTGGAGACGTTCTCCGGCACACTGAGTGTGGGAATGGCCGGCGGTGGCAGGACTTTCTCGCTGTAAATGTCGAGCAAAATATCGGACAGACCGACGATGGCTGCTGGGTGATTGGGGTAATGGGTGAGGGCCATCTCAAAGTCTGACCGGGCCAAGTAGGGTGCGCCCTTTGCCAAAGAAAGATAGCCGAGCTATACAAGTTGTCAGTTGAGTCAATTTGCACATGATCAAGCATATAGCTCACCTCCGCCCAAACGTCTCCGAGCAGCTCGTCGACGCCCTTCTTCTCGGCCCAGCTGTTGCCCCTCATTGACAGAGAGCCCGTAGGATCCTTGGCTACTTCAGCCTCGAGTATCCCTACAAGCTTCTGCGCTTCTGAGATGGCTCCCTTGCTGTCCTCAAACATGTTGGCTCGACGATAGAATCCCGCAATCATTAACCACACCTTGACCAGCAGCACAGCTCTTTGCCTCCGCTCCATGTCCTGGGGGAAGTGGATCAGCGGCAACGGGTTTGATATGGTGTAAGTGCCACTGGCAGAGATTTCGGAGAAATTTGTTGATCGTGATTTCTGGGAGGTGTAAGACTCCAAGTGATGGAGTGAACGTCCTCGTGAAACAGAAGATGCCATTGAAGCCTGACGGTTGCCTGTGAGAGGGAAGAACTCGGACTGCTGCAGTTCGTCGGCTGGGGTGAAGAAGACCTCTCCGTCAACCACCGTCGGTCCGTGTGGATTGGTGCCTGCGCTACTGACACTTGCTGTCCTCTTGCGACCGCTGCTGCTATCTCGCTTGCGCAAGCTGTGTCTTTTGCCCGATTCACTTCTCGATCGGCGCGTCAGACTGGAAAGACGCCGCGTTCGCGTCTCTGTTGGTGATCCGTTCTCTTGGGTGACTTGTATTGTCGGGGCTGCAACGCTGGCTTGTGTTTGTGAGGTCTGGGGGCGGGAAGGCGTGACTGTTTTCTCCGTTTCTGCTATACTGGGTTGCCGCGTTCGTGTAGAGCCGAAGAAGCT